TTACGTCGGTGTACATTCAACCCCCGATTTTAAAACACTGTTTTTATTTATTGAGGTTCTAATTCATCGATTATTAAAAGAGCTGTGAGTACCAAAACATGTTAAAAATGTTGAGTGACTTCACTAAGGTGATATTTGTAGTTTGAAATTATCGAGGGTGTACTTTCAAGCCCCAATTTAAAAAGCACTGTTTTCATCCCTTGAGATAGTAGTTTCTCGTTTATTAAAGGAGCTGAAGCTACCAAAATGTACTAAAGTTGTTACCGGCCATCAGTGAAATCATATTTTTAGTTAGATATTACAGTGTTGTATTTTTTTTTTTTTGGAAAATAGAAACTTTTGGAAAACTTAATGTTGTTTCAGGTGAATATTGTAATCTTGTCATCGAAAAAGGAGCAAACCACCGTTGAGGCCATTCCAGGATGATTGGGATGACACTTCAAAGAGTGGTAAGATTATATTTTTTATTTATATTTCATTTTATTGTACTTAAACATTACTTTACTTATAACTTTTAACTTATAGCTTTTTTATTTCTTGTCTTTCATGTTAAAATAAACTTATACTTGTATAGACTGAGTTTGGGACTTCCCATTCTTTTAGGGACTTTCCAGTTTAGTCATCGAACAGGGGGTACATCATCGATGAACCAATTCAAGGATTGTCAAGAGGACATCTCCTAGGAAATCCGAGGTTCATTGGATATGCCGTAATACGAGAGTAATCTACCCTGCCACAAATGAGTAAGTGTTAATTCTAAATTTTGTAATTTTCTTAAATGCACTTGTTATTCTTTTACTGTAGGGCAGTTTTCAAAATTTAACTTTCTTAAGATTCTCCAATTGCTATCGTTCACAACAATTTTTTCGTTTTGTATCGTATGGGAATTGGCTTTATCTTTCTACTTTAATTGTACAGCTTATTTTTGTATTTATTTAGGAAAGACTTAAATTATAAATTCACGCTTGTGTACTTTCTCATTTTAATTGTAATTTTAGTTGTCTTTATTTAAATTTAAAGAAATTTTTCGTCGTTGCACTAAATACTTATACAATGTTTTAATTTTAACGTTTGTTTTTATTTCTTCTTTGTAATTTTACTTCAGAAGAGATTGTTAAAAATTATTCATTTATAAATCAAATTACAAGAAGAAATAACTGTTGCAAATATTTATTTATTTCTGTTAAACTCGTAAATAACAATATTATGTTTTTGTTACAGTGCCTACCAGTTACCACCATTAGGACCAATTCAAGGATCTTCAAGAGGACACCTCCTAGGACGCGATCTTCATTTTCGTACGGGAGTGTCGGTCGCGAGTGCTTCGGGGGTCTGGATTGGAACTCCGAAGGCTCCAATACCCGGGATCTCGGAATTTCGAAATCCTGAGTTTTGGAAACTTCGGAATTCGAATTCAGGATCTCCAAGACTGCAGATCCCGAATCGGGATCTTCAGTTTTTGGAGATTTTGAAATTCGAATTTCGAAGTTTCTAATACTCAGTATCTCGAAATATCCGAAATTTTGCGTAATGGGGCCTTCTAGTTCTAATCTGGATACCCTACCTCTGGGTATTGTCTCGGAGGCTCTTCGAATAACAAAATATTTTGCACTAGACCTGATAGGCGTGAAAAATTCATTTTGTCTTTTTTAAATTAAAACAAGTAAAATCTTTTTCGTATGTTTTATTCATTTTGTCTTTTTTAAATTAAAACAAGTAAAATCTTTTTCGTATGTTTTATTTACTCTCCCTCTCCCTGGGAACGGGGGGCGCACGCCCGCCTCCCCCTCCCTGGGGAGGGAGACGCACACATGTGCCCCCGCCTCCATGGAGACGGGGGACGCATGCACGCGCCCCCGCCTTCCCCCTTGGGGGCACACACACACATCCTCACACATATACCCCTCTTTCATTCACACATACACCCACTCATTCAAGCACACCCTCTATCATTCAGACGTTTACACCCTCACACATTCATGTATTTACACCCAATCAGTGCCACTTTTTCTCATTCAAACCTTCATACATTCCCTCTCATTCTCATGTATGCAACCCTTCGACCACCATACATTTAACCTTTTATTTCATTCATATACACCGCCATGCAGACACCCTCCTCACATTTACCCCTTACTGTTACTAACACATTTATAGACTTACGCGTTCACTCCATTAATTCATTCACAAGCATACCCTCCTCTTTCATGCATTAATACTCGCAAGCATACACCCTCCTCTCATTGATACATTCACGCTTTTACCCTTTTCATTTAATAACACGTACACAACCCTATTACACTTAAATTCATACATTAATGCAATCATGCATACACCCTACTTTCATTTAGACCCTCTATTATTCGTAAATTTACACTCCTCTTATTAGTGGCACATTTATACCCTCACATTTATATATTCACTCTATTCTCTCATTCACAAGCATGCATCGCTCTAACATAACGCAACTCTTTTTTTTTATTCATACCCTCATACTGTTATCACATGAATGCCCTGAGTTTCCTTTCCATTCGTATTCATCCCCATTCTCATTCTCGTTTTCATCCACTCACATAGTACAATGTAATTCTTTTTCAACCTAGTCGTTATCCTTTCATACATTTTTATTAAATTTCATACTTAACTCACTCTTACACTCACCCCAAACTTCTGCACTCCTTCACCCCTGTAATATTAATATTCTCACACTCCTACATTCACAATCTCACTCTCTCCCCACAATTAGTCCCCATTTAGTATTATTATTATTATACCTAATATACATAAATATGATAAATATTTAAAACTAAAATAGTAATTTTATCCTAACATAATTAAACAGATAATCCTATGTAACCCTACACAAACATAATATATAAAATACAATTCATACTGATAAATAATTTTTGAAATATTCCAGTTTAAAAAAGTGGATTCATTGATTTTTCAAAAGAATTAAAATAGTTGATAATCTTAAAAAAAAAAATAAAGTAAAGATTTTCTCAGCGAGAAAAAAGATAATTGAAATTGATTTCACCAAAACAGATGTAATAGGTAGGTAAGTATACAAAAAACAAAAATTTAGAATATATCGCTTAAGTGGAATTACTATTTGGAATATACGTATACATATTTATTTAATGAATTTAACTAGCCTCTTAAACAAACAAAAGAATTAAGTTAATAATAATAATTTCGCTAATGGGATGTGTAGGTGCTGTTATAAACTTATAGCAAATAAGAAAATCGAGAGCTACTTAACTAAAATTTTGCTCAATAAATCCACTTTTTTATAAAACGTGCGCATGTGTTTAGAAGTATTCTACGAAAAGATTAACTTCGTGGAAACCCAGGGAAAAATTCATCTTGTGTAGAGGGGTACGGTACAGGTCCCATCATGGTTCAGGGATGCATTTCAACTTCGAAACAATCATCATATTGGAATCTGAAACAATGAAAACTTTTTTAATAAACAAAAAGTAAGGATTTGAATAAAGTACCTATAGGTAAATTAAAAACGAATGAAGTATTAAAAACGGGATTTAAAATGAATAAATTGAAATATTAGCTGAATTAAATAAATAAATAAATTAACAAATAAAATAAAAAATCAAATAAGTAAAACAATGCATAAAAGTTAAAACTAAACAAAAAAAGAAAGAGGAATGTGATACAATAAAAATCGGTGTCTCGAAGTCCACGTTTGAGGTTCTGGTGTGTCTCGATGTCCTCCATTTCTCTTTAGTTCGGTATGTCACTGGGGAAACTTTACCGGATGCGGGACTGTGAGTGTTCCCTATTGATCCTATTTTGATCTACAATAAGAAAGAAGAGTTATAGAAAAAGTCTAAAAGTAAATTACAAGAAAAATTTGAACCAAATTGCAATTTTATGAGTTTTTATTTTACATATTGTTTTGGAAAACGTTTAAATGAAGTAAACAGAAAGAAATGTAAAAAGGAAATGCATATATAATACGTTAAAGAAAAGTATGAATCTAAACATAGTTTAGGTACATTAAAAGAAATTAATCATCTCATACTGATGAATCTTTCGTGTTTTTGCTATCCCCATTGCGGAACTCCCTAAAGAAGGTTCAATAAAAAAAATATATTTTTTGTATACAAAGGACATTCACGTACCGGAGTATGAAAAGCACACAAGTCAGTGGTAAGACTGCTTAACTGCAACGTCGACAGCCATTACAATACACTTTTATTCATCTTCATTGGGTTCGTCGATGACCATCACTGACCCTGACTACTAATGTCGCTCCTGACATTCTGCATGCTAAAATAAAAAGGAAAAAATTTGGTATAAGTAATAACATAAGGAAACTAATAAAAAAAGGTTTAGTTTTTCAAAATTAAATACCTAGACGTAATAAAAACCGGCGGCTAATTTGTGAAAAATAGACAACAGTTTAAAAACGTTCCAAGTATCAAGTCCTATCAGTATTTCAAAATTAAGCTATCAAATGCGGCAAAAGACACAGAAAATATTGACTTAGGAAAACAGGCACTTACTTCGCTTTTTTGATGTCTAACTGAAAATTCGCTTAAACTGTGAGAAACATAAGCCAATAATGGATCAAACGATTTATCAACTATTCAAAATTAGATTTCTGAACGACTCAGAAATGCCCTCGAAAATTTGAAAACATGTTGAATTTTGAAGTACGGTAAAAAGTGCATCAAATGCTCGTTTTAGTTCATTAAAACTAAAAGTACAGACACTTGGAAAAAATAAAACCAAAAACGACCTACAATGGTATGAGATAAAAAATTACCCTGTTCTCTCATACGTGGAAAAATTAATCCTTACAAGCGCTTGAGAAAATGCAAATTCTAAATTAAAAATACAAGTAAATCTTACGATTAATTAAAAATATACCAATGTACCATAATGTATGATAACTTTATAACAAACGTAAGGACACTTTGTCAGACCAAAAACATTTTGTTATTTTTATTCAACGTTTGAGGAAATGCATTATAATAATGTTAGACAACAAAATGGCAACCAAAAGCAAAGAAGAGTTTACGGAATTAAATGTTTCTTACCTTGTCCTTCCAGATATAGAATACTTAATCCTGCCAAATAACATCTTATGTATTAAAATACAATCTCACATTTAACCGATAGGCAATAATGTTCTATTAAAACGCCATTTACACGGCAAAACTTTACTATAAATTGACGTTGTTAACATTACGCATCACGTACCGAGCACATCTACTCACGTTCGTCACTGTGACCTTTTCATGGTCCCTCGTTCGATAGATATTATCGATCTACGATATCGGAATTCGTGTATTTACGGAAAACAAGTTAGACAAATAATTTAAAGAAGTGCCACACTATACGCCAACGTAATCAAAACAATTTAATGTTTGTTTATTAACTACAATGCAATTAATATAATAAAGGAAAGAAAACATTTTGATGACATTTCCACATAGGGAAAACCTATATGTACAATTTAATAAGTTTGTCTAACAAAACAATTCCGAAAACAATGAATATTTACGCAAAAGTGCTTATTATGATGCTTAAAGATGTTACTATAGAAAAACAGATGCCGTTTTACGACACTGCAGCTCATTTATTTTAAGTCTGATTCAAACTACTCTTTAACTGTGAAAAATAACAGACTTCAGTGCATTGAAGGTCTGCACTGCCTCAAAATGCTAGATCCGCCAATAATGTATGAATTTCGTCGATTTTGAAAAAACTGGCGTCACTTTGCGATACCAACAGTTCGTTTGATTTGAATACGAAATAGAATTCGCTTTAACTATGAGGAAGAGAAGATTTAAGTGTATTGAGTATAAAGATCGTAAAGGTTTCAATTCTTATCGATTTTGAAAAAACAGGCGTTTACTTTGCGATATTTATTTCAAATTCGATATAAAATTCATTGAAACTTTGAAAAAGAGTAGATTTTTAGTCTATTGAGTGACCCAACATTGCTTTCAAATAATATTTCTAGATACGCAAATAAAGCTTCCAAAAGCTTCAATTTCTATCGATTTCTAAAAAAAACAGGCATCACTTTGCGATGATATAGCTCGTTTGTTCCAGATCCGTTTTAAAGTCCACTTTAACTATTAAAAAGAGCAGATTTTAGTGCACTAGATGACCAACAGTGCTTCCAAATAGTATTTCTAGATATGCCAAGAAAACCCGCGAAAACTTTTTCATCGATTTTCAAAAGCCAGCTTCACTTTGCGATGCTGCAGCTTGTTTATTTATAAAATTAATCGTATGATAAACAGTACCTATAAACGTAAGCCGCAAAAGACGTTTTGTGTGTTTACTGTCGGAAGTGTACGCGATGTTTTGAAAATAAAGCAAATTAATTTTCGCCTCGTTTGAAGTCGATTTCCTGATGCTTAACTCTGGGAAAATTGATTGTTGCATAGAGAACTCGTGATCGTCGTTATTGTGAAAAACCTTAGCCGAAAATAGGTGTGGACGTTTGCGTGTGACTGCGTGTGTAATTTACGTATCGTATACATGTGTACACGTGTGTGTGTGGGGCTTCCATCCGAAGTCAATGAACCGACTGTCTGAGTGTATTTAAGTAAATCATACTAGGTACCGATGAATTGGTCACATTTTCATTTCCCACAATTTTTATATACCCCACAGTTTTAATGAACTCGAATTTCATCGAATACTATATGACATTTAAATATTAATTTTCCTAGAAATTCACGAACGTATGCAATCTGACATTAAATAATGCCTTCTTGCCATAAATATGTTTATATTTTCATACATAAAAATCTAGTAATGATATGATATCGTCATTAATACAAGGTAGCCAGTCCTAGGACTGGTTGGAGACGCACCTCCGCTTTTCTTATTCTGAGCTAGTTTTTGCATTCAGAACAACATCAGTTCACCTACCGGCCGTGAAAGCCTTTACTAATTAATCTAGTGGTTTCATAAAATTTATTACCAACCAAATGTGCTTACTCAGTTGGGTACATCGTAGATTCAGCTTGACAAAAAGATACCGTAATGTTTGTAGATATCTTTAGATGACGATATTTTACCAATTGATGCTTGTTGTATGTAGGGGAGACCGGGGATGGTTGACTAGTATTTTTACTGAATAGTTTATATTTTTTGTGTTTTAATGAATATAGACAAGAAAAGCATGTTAATTGATAGAAAATCTATTAACCTAATAAAAATATGTAATATTTAGTTCTTAGTTTAGTATAATAGTGATGATTTAATGCATTTTACAAAATATTAAATCTTAGTCAATCTACCCCTGGCCCGGGGTAGGTAGACCATATGCCCGGGGTAAGTTGACTCATGTACCAGTAAGAGTCAAATCATGAGAAGGAGCAAATAATTAAACATTTTTTTAATATAATTAAGCCTTTTGTTAAAAAATAAACTGGCTAAAGTTTCCTCTTCTAGATTAGTAAAAATTTGTCAATTTTTTATATATTCCACTGTGTCCAGGGTTAATTCTGCTCTCGTCAATTTCGGATTCTGTTCTAATTTTTCTTTTAATTTGGCCACGTAACGATTTAAAAGTCCAATAAAAAGTTAATTTATGTGTTGTTTTCAACTACATATTTCATTGGGGTTGGTTGAATAATTATTCAACCAGCCCCGAAAAAAATTGGTCTACCAACCCCAGACGCCATTTTTAATTTTGATCGCATGGCTAGCCTAAACACTGCCGTTGACTTGAAAAATAAGATATGAAATATGATAAATGTGCCCTCATTATATGCTAGGACTAATAGAAAAATGATTTACATAAAGCGAGTAGGCATCAGATCAAAAAATACAATATATCAAAATATTACTTATGTGATTGAAATATGAAAAACATGTTAGTGTTCGAAAACAACGCATGACCGCGATGTGACGCTTCAGACAACTGAGCGGGACGCAAAATGTAATGCTTGGTTATGATCAGATGACATAGTTCATACACTGTCGAAGAGTTTTCCCCCTATAGTCAACTATCCCCGGTCTCCCCTACTGCATATTATTAGACAAAAAATATAATGCGTTCCTTATGTATGCCTGTATTTACCTGTGCCAAGTGTATTTTCATTAACTATAAGGTGCGTTATTCTCCAAGGGCATCCAAAATAATTATCTTGGGACTCCACGGTAACACACCACCAAAAAACTCATGAAGTAAAATATTTTGACCTTTGTAGACCTGCCTATGTTTCCAGTTAAGTCTTTCGTAAACGTAAGCTTTATTTGACTGTTACACTGTGAAATTTATTTATTGCGTAGAAAATTTATTAATAATCGCATATTTTTTATACAAAAAGGGGACAAGTCAATTAATACCTATTGAACACCTAAATATCATAAAGCAAACATATACCTTCGCGTGGATAATGTTCTATTAAAATATTCCGATTAAATGGCACTTCTAAATTTTGGAGAACACTAAACGTGAAACTGATAAAAACGTAAATGTAGACTTGAGATAATAAAATGAACACGTAATTGCTCGACTCATATTGGCAATTTTTATTCCAAATGCAAAGTAAATTGACATTATTTACATTCTAAATGCTTTTCTAATTTTGATAATAACTGAAAAAGTAAAAGAAATAGCACATGGTTAAAGAAACCTTCTTTTAATGAAGTTGAAAAATTTTTAAAGCCTTAACGATGTAGAGACATTTGTAAATGCTTGAAGGAAAGAAACCATTTCTTGGATCCGATATATATTTAATGAAAGTATATTAGCTACTTGGAAATATATTAAACAAGATAGATAAGTGTTTTATCGCTAATTTTTATGTTTTCAAAATGGAACATTCGTTTGTTTTTAGTTTTCGATAACTTATGGAAAAGGTAAATCCCAAAGTGAAATATTACTTATCACCCTTAAGAAAAATCCCTAGGTGTTTGTTCTCTAGGTCAAACTGTGGAAATTGATTTATTAAGAAAGTACCATTGTATATATACAGTTTTATTATATGTTGCATTTACTATTAATAATTATCAGAATTACGATAATCTTAACGCACCTATGAATTGTTTAAGTTTTTTTAAAACTACCTACTAATAGATATATTATATGGTCGGTTCTCAGTAGGTTATAAATAATATCGAAAATAATTTTTTGTGACTACACATTCATTGGCTAATGGAGCCACAAAGGAGTAGATGTGAGAATTTCAATATCGTTGCAATATTTACAGTCACATCAGTTGACACTTAGAGTTTAACTTGTTATTTTTTTAGCGATTTCTTATTTGTTTTCTAATAATATGGTAATTTCAGTATTTAACTAATCCGTGAGACTTAGACCGATTCATATCACCCACTAAAAAGCGCATTGGTGTGCATGTGCAGGAAAATGTTTTCTTTTGCCAATAATTGTTTTGAATTAAAGTCACTTCTGCAATCATGCCAGATAAACAGAATTGTCCACTAAATAGATTGGACACGTAAAATCGGCTGCATTCGTTTAACAAAACAAAGCTTTTCGATTTCCCCGACGACCAATGGAATCAAACCAACGAACGTTTTCATTTTCATTAAAGCAAAACAGCGTTGCGATTAGAAATGACCTCGCTTGTAATCAGCACTCGTGATGGTCATGTGCTGCTTAAATACGTACCTACCCACAATAATGTGGTAGAAATTATATTAACATTACGGAACTGCCGTTCTTGAAGTTTTTTCTATTGTTCTCAACTATAATTGTATCATTCCTAACGATTAACGCTAACAGTCAATTGTTTTGTTCATGAAAAGTCTATGAATCTTTGCTTTTCTACCACATGGCCTTCCATTAAACCCCCTTACCTGTTTTAAAATTATCGAAGGATTGTGTTTACAACGACATACAGCCCATTTCAATTTGTTAGAATTGTGACCTTGAAGAAATCTGCGCGAGCAGAGCTCTCGATGGGCGGTCTTAGGAGATCGGTTAGAACTGTACAGTACTAGACGAAAATGTTTAACAATTTCTTAAAACAAAAATGTATATAAATTAACAATAGAAAACAAAGCTAAAGTTTTATAGGTGTGTAGAGCGTTAAGTTAATTTACTTGTTATTATTTTTTGCTAAATATGCTTTTAAATAAAGCACATTCATAAATATTAACGAGGCAGTTTAAATAATTTTGCAAATGGTACAGTACACTTTTGTCCAGTTCTCGCTCGATGATCGGTGGAGAAATGAGCTTCGCAGACAAATACGATTGAATTTGGAAATATGCTACGGCGCATCCTACTAAAGGGAAGGGGCGTATCTCTAACTTCTCGAAACGAACAGTATATACATGTATGGTCTGTAGGAAGTAATCGAAGAAGTAAAATGGCAAAAAAACCTTTTTTAAACGTCAAATTA